CAAAAAGAAGATCATGGCCGGATTCGCCCACCTGTAGCCATATGTGAACGGAGGAAAGAGAAAGAATTACTATTATTAGTAGTAGTAGTAGTATTTCCTTTGATTTCTGTTGTATACACAGTTGCTTCAGGGTCCCAACCAGAGACATAAGATCAAAAATGGCGTTATAACATTTTGCACTGATCATTATTGTAATCCCACCACCGACTTCCTAGAACCTTAAGATCACACATTTTACATACATAAAGCTCTTCGTAATGTGTGAGCTCTACATGTGAGTAACATTTTTTTGTATTTCTTTAAGGCATGGGCTACCAGTAATCCCTTCAATGAGTCTATCGGAACCTTTTCCAATCAATCCGAGTGCTCCAACTACAACTGGAATTATTGATGTCCTCATGTGCCACATTTTTGAGATTTCTACTTCAAGATCTTTTTATTTTGATAGATTTCATCATAATTTTATTTCCTTTTATTTCTGGTGTTTAACTATTTCTTTCAGGATCCTAGCCAGAGACCTAACCTCAGAAATGACATTGTGACTTTTTTCCACTGAGCAATTTTTGAGAAAAAAAGATCACATAAATTTCACATCAATAAAATTCCTTCATGAGTTGTGGTCTGTACTTGTGAGTATAATTTTTTATGTATTTGTTAATCATGAACTATCAGGAATACCTTCAGTGAGTCTATCCGCCCCTTTTCCAAACAATCCGAGTTGTTGATATTCTCATGTGCCACATTTTTGATATTTCGATTTCAAGATGCTTTTATTTTGATAGTTTTTTAAAGATCTTCAAAGATACATTACAATCTGTAAGGACTGCCATGTCCATACAAGAGTACATTATGTTCTTGTTGTTTTTGATCACGATATTTGAGCGATTAGGTTTGATTGTTCTGTTTTTATGTATTGTAAAGTTTTTTTGTTTTTTTTTTGTTTTTTTTTTAAGCATTTCACCATAAGCAAGGCGGGAAGCCACTAGGACGCAAGGGGTTACAGAAAATTTAGAGCAAGATCAGATAGGAGTGATAGAAGAAAGGATGAGGGCAGTGGATAGATCAAGGCAACTGGAGATGTCGATTGACATTACACTTGAATAGCTGGAGATTATAGCTCACAGGGAAACAGGAATAGGGAAGGAAGTTCCACAGGCGAGAGGTGCGAGACATGAAGCTATTAGAGTAGAAGAGACGGCTACATTTAGGAGTTTCGACAGTGAAGGGGTGAGGCAGGATGCCAGCCTCGTAAGGCGCTGGAACTCATGACATCTGGGAACCAGCAGATGCAGCTCCTCGGGCAATTTCCATGAAAGTATTTGTAGAACAGACAGAGGGAGGTGACGGCGCGTCTGTGAGAAAGTGATTGTAGACGAGACGCCAGGGCAGGGCCAACTACATTGCATATCCGCCTCTGGAGCACCAGACCATATATGGCAGCAATACTCCATGCAAGGGCGAATTGTTGATTTGTAGATCTGGAGGATCGACTCCGGGGAGAAAAACTTCCTGGCGCGGCTCAGGGAGCCAACTTTCCTTATTCCATAAAATTGTTACAGGTCCTATCTCTGTAACCGGATCTGGGTGATGTTCATATTAATTTCTTGCAGTTTCCTTCGCGAAAAAAATGTTGCATGTTTTCCAATGCAGATATTGGTCGATTCCATCATGCCGAGTTTTATATGCCGTTGATGTGTAACTGTGTAACTTGATACAAGATTATAAGTATTATTTTATTTGTATTATTGTCTGAGAGTGCAGCACACCCACAAAGCTCAATATATCCATCACGACAGCTTAATAAGGGTATACACTGCACATGCATCACAGCCAAATGTGCGCGATACTATTATTGTTATTATTATTTGCAACCTACTATCCCGTAAGACTATGGACTATCCGCAAAGCGTTGGTTTAGTCTGTGGATTAGTTGCAACATTTGCCGTGACTTTTTAATCTCGTTCTTAAAACTGCAGGCCCTGCTGCAATTATGGTGTAAGCCGCGTTGTAAGCTGGTTGTATGGGTTCTGGTATTTTCCTGTACTGTCTTGTTCTTTCCTATCTTCCCATCGGTCCTCTCTTCTCCCTTGTCACTCGTCTAAATGCCAGTAATCCTGCAACTGTTGTGATCATCTCAGTGTGTTTCCTAGATCACGCATCGCATTTGCAAATATATTTGTAACGAAGGAAATGACATCCTGCATGTCTAGAACATTGTGTTTTGAGAGACAATTTTTTCTCTTCAGAATCTATCTTACATATGTAGAAGTCTACCATTCGTCCATGCTTAGAATATTGCTGCGACATATGGTCTGGTGCCCCTGCTATTTAACCTGATCTCTTTGATAAAATCCAAAGAAAATCAGCAACATTATTGGCCCTGATCTGGCATCTCAGCTTCATTCATTTTTCCACCACTATAAAATTGCCTCTCTGTGTCTTTTCTATAAATACTTTCATGGTAATTGTTCAGATGAGCTCTTAGTTATCGTACATAAACTTTTTGAATTTAAATGCAGCACTAGACTGACGTCAAGATCTCATTAATTTAATGTTGTGTTGGCAGGATGTAACTGTAAATTCTATGCTAACAGTTTCTTTTCTCGCTTGTGAAACTCCCTTCCGGTCCCTTGCTTTCCAGTAAACTTTAATCTGTAAAAGTTTAAATTGCAATGTCAATCGTTATCTATTGTCGTCCTGATTCTTTTTTTCCTTTTCCTGTTCATTATTAATGTTTCTGTTCCTAATTCTTCCACATCTTATAATCATTTGTGTGGTAGTAGTTTTACTGCCCTGAATGGGGTGATACAGATTAAAAAATATGTAGCCATCTTGCATGCAGATGGTATTATCCTACGACTTCTACTAGTCAGAAGATGGCATACACCAGAATTAATGGCAGAAGCATATTTAGCCTCACATGCACTAGAGCGCAGATATAGTACATATGCTGTTTGAAGATGATTGTCATACTGAGTGCATACACTGAGGAAGCTCATACATTGATTCATTTGCAGATTACAGCCTAATTATTACTCCTCTAAAAAACAACTTCATCTATTAGTGATTACATCCTTGAGGTGATAGAAAACTTCTAACCTCAATTTCAAATCACCTACCGTATAACTAAATAGATGAATCCGAAGAGCAGCAGCAGTAATAGCTAACCTAACTGGCAAAATTATGCTTTCATTCAAAACCAATATGGTGTATAGAGGTTCAAGTCTTGTGGCATGGACACTAACTAAACCCAAGAAGGCAAATTCTTCTTATCATAGCAGTTTTAGAAATATTCTGGATATCATTTGATAAAAGAAGTAATGCAACCATTACTGATAAACTATATATATATATATATATATATATATATATATATATATATATATATATATATATATATATATATAATATATAGCATATACTTTCTTAATTAATATGTATATATAGAAAAAGTTTCAAATTGAAAATTATAATGTTTTTATTTTATGAAAGTATTTATTTATTTATATATATATTTTGATATTTCAAATTGTCCTCAATTTTTTCATCAGAAATAACTGAGTAATTTTAATTTATTTGTAACAAACAGTTATTTCTGATGAAAATTGAGGGACAATTTGAAATATCAGTTATTTATAAATAAATAAAATTTCCTCAAATAAGCTTTCCTATATATATATATATATATATATATATATATATATATAACACAAAACCCCACCAACTTGTTTACGTTTCTTTACGAAGCCGAATCATAAGAGGTCCTTTCAGTTACGATACCTCCGGCAGGCGCTGTGGAAAAAGTGTCTGTCCTATCTAGGCCTCGCACACCATCAAATTTCCTTCTATGTTCTCTTTCACTAAATCAAGCAATGTTAATTATATAATGTATACATGTTCAGTATTTGTCTACTATAACGAGACATTTTATATGAGTTACTTTCTTCTTAAACTAATAGAAATAGTTATTCATAATTGAAAAAGGAAATTAAAAGAAAAGCCGATAAGAAGAATAACATATGCACATATGTAGAGAAAGATTTTTCGAATGTCCCCGTTAATATTGGTTCATTTATAAATGCTATGATGTTTATGCATTATTTGAATTTTCAATATTTTTCGATGCAGACTCAATGAAGCTAATAACTTTTTAGACCCATAGTTTTTATTACTAAATTCTAAAAGTAAAAATCAGTAAGTAAAAAACTACAAACAATTGTTTTGTCTTGTAATATTAACCAGGTTGAAGATGTATCTGTACTAATCAATAATTATGTCTAAATAATTATATCTATCTATCTATCTATCTATCTATCTATCTACCTATCTATCTATCTATCTATCTCAATCTTTTTATGAGCTCAGGAATACGAAAATTGAACCTTTTCTTTCGTCTATATATTCCCGTTTGTATTTTATTGTATGTATGAAGATCGTCGGTAGATATTCATATGCGTACATTGGCGTATGTGAAAGAGTGTAAACCCAATGCCGCCTGACGTACCTGATATTTTGAGTCAGCGCCTCTGTGTGTGTGCGCACGCGCGTGCGTGCGCGAACGCTTAATGAACGTTGTTTTAAGAAGTCATGGATACTGTAATGTGTCTTCGCCCAGGTGATACGTACGTTGCAGGTGTCAATGTGTGTCCTATTCTTTTATGGCTACGATAATCACGCCTGGGACCAAATAGATCATACCGCTAATTATGGTATTATGTTGGCTGAAACCTGTAGAAAAGTATTGTAGAGGGCAAAAAAAGAAAAGAAAAGAAAGATAAAAAGAAAGAACGTGAAAAGCATACAAGGGAAATGAAGGAAAGTGAAAAGAATAAATTTGAACATCAAACAAAAGATATATAACATAAGAAATTAAAATAAAGAATTATAGAAATTGGATGAAAAAGATATGCCGAAAATGCCGAAAGATCAAAAAGGAAATTGATAAGAGAATCACAGTCGAGAAAACTCGAAAGAAGACTAAACCTATTTATCTATTTCAGTCTGTTCGTATCTATCTATCTATCTATCTATCTATCTATCTATCTATTTCAGTCTGTTTATATGTAACTATCTATCTTTATCTATCAATTTCATTCTGTTCATGTCTATCTATCTTTATCAATTTCATTCTGTTCATTATCTATCTATCTATCTATCTATCTATCTATCTATCTATCTATCTATTTCAGTCTGTTCATATCTATCAATTTCAGTCTGTTTATATCTATCTATCTATCTATCTATCTATCTATCTATCTATCTATCTATCTATCTATTTCAGTCTTTTTATATGTAACTATCTTTATCTATCAATTTCATTCTGTTCATATCTATCTATCTATCTATCTATATATCTATCTATCTATTTCAGTCTGTTCATATCTATCAATTTCAGTCTGTTTATATCTATCTATCTATCTATCTATCTATCTATCTATCTATCTATCTATTTCAGTCTGTTCATATCTATCAATTTCAGTATGTTTATATCTATCTATCTATCTATCTATCTATCTATCTATCTATCTATCTATCCTTGTCTTTTCATCTATCTATCAATTTCAGTCTGTTCATATCTATCTATCTATCTATCTATCTATCTATCTATCTATCTATCAATTTCAGTCTGTTCATATCTATCAATTTCAGTATGTTTATATCTATCTATCTATCTATCTATCTATCTATCTATCTATCTATCTATCTATCTATCTATCTCAGTCTGTTCATATCTATCTATCTATCTATCTATCTATATATCTATCTTTTTTCATCTATCTATCTATCTATCTATCTATCCTTGTCTTTTCATCTATCTATCTATCTATCTATCTATCTATATATCTATCTATCTATCTATCTATCTATCTATCTATCTATCTGAACAGCGCACGGAACATGAAAATATCGAAGTCTATCATTAATATAGATAAATAACTACGAAGAAATCAAGATCTTATTATTTTCGCATTTGTGAAATGGTTAAAATTTCTTTTTTTTTTAAAGAGTAATCATCATTTTTATGAAATTCCTTTGAATAAAAATCCAGATTTTCACAATAGGCAACAAAAATGTAGTAGCTTGAAATGTCTATACGGTAGATAGTGGCATTTTCTCACCAATATACTAAATGTTAACAAAATTCAAACTACACAAAAATTATGAATGTATCTCAACTGAATGAAAGTTTTACACATCGGAAGAAAAATGAAGGCCGCTTACTTGAACATTTTCACCGTTGACTTTTTTCTTCGAGTTTTTGTTTTCTTTAATTCTCTTTTAACTCTCGCCTCATCATTTTACATATCAGTCAATCATTTTCTTTCTCTTACCATTCCGCTATATAACTTTATGTATCTATATAGCTTTAATTATTATTTCTTTGTTTTTCTTTCTTTTTTCTTCCGTTTTTCTTTCTTTCTCTCTTTTCTTTATTTCTTTCTCTCATTTGACACTTTTTTTGATACATTCATTCTTTTTCTTTCTTTCTTTTTTCTTCCCTTTTTCTTTTTTACTTTCTTTTCTTTCTTTCTTAGTTACTTTTTTGTTACTTTCTTTCTTTTTCTTTCTTCGTTTCTTTGTTACTTTCTTTCTTCTTTCCGTTTTTCTTTCTTTCTTCTTTTTTTGTTACTTTCTTTTCTCTCTTTCTTTATTACATTTTCTTTCTTTTTTGTTATTTTTCTTTTTCTTTGTTTCTTTCTTTTATCTTTATGATTTACATTTTTCATTCTTTCTTTTTTTCTTTATTATTTTCTTTTTCCTTGTTACTTTCTTTGTTTGTTTCTTTGTTTCTTTCCTCAAGAAGCCTTTTACTCTGCCCATGTATAATCGCTTTTTATTTTTCTTTACTCATTTTTGCTTCATTCCTCTTGTAAGATTTCTTTCTTTCTTTCCTCTTTCTTTCTTTCTTTCTTTCTTTCTTTCTTTCTTTCCTTCTTTCTTTCCTTCTTTCATTCTTTCTTTCTTTCTTTCTTTCCTTCTTTCTTTCTTTCTTTCCTTCTTTCTTTCTTTCTTTCTTCATATGACCATTTTCCTCGCGCTTTTAAACTTACTTTAACTTGCTGTCTTTTGATGTTTTGCTTTTTTAGTACACACAGATGAAATTGTTATAATTGATAAGTTTTATCCATGTATGGTATTGGTAAATATATATAATATTACCATTCACCCCCCAAGCAAGACTAGAAAATACTAAGACGCAAGCGTTTAGTGAGTGTGAGAGAATATGAGAAAAAGAACAGGAATTAAGAAGACAGAATATAACAATTGACATTGCATTTAAATTTTTTAAAAGTTAGTAAATATTAAGGTGATTATAAATGCTACAATTCAAACGTTTGAAGAGATCCCTGGTAATTTTTTTTTAAATTGCCCCCCAAAGTAGTTGTTTTTTTTTTTACTTTAAATAAACGAAAACTATTATACATAGTTAAAAAAAAATGTGAGATGATCATTTTATTAGAAATTTTATTATGACAAAAAGTAAAAAAAAACAAATTTTATGATTAAATTTTGCTCTCGTTAAAATATCCTCCTTTAGCCTTGATTACTGCAGTACAAATTTTTGGCATTTGTTGCAAAAGTTTCTCAAAGTATAAGTTTGATAATTGATTCCATTCTTTTTTCAATGACTCTAAGAGCGCTTTTTCATTTTTTTCAATCTTCTGTTAAGTTTATCCCCTGCTAATTTTCGTAGTGATATTTCTGGAATTCCAATACAGACTTATAGTTTAGTATACATAATTTCATAAATTTTACTTATTGATAATCCCCTTGTAAATAGAAATATTTCCAATGAGACCAGTTCAAACAATTAATGGTTTTGACAGCAGATTTTCAAGGCACCATTTTCCTTTCTATTTTTTTGAGATGTACCAAGCTAAGCCTATCAGATATTTATTAAAAGAAGGATAAAAGGATTTTCCCCAATAATTAATATTCAATTTTTTTAAAGCTAGCATTTATATATTGCTTTCTATGGCAAACACACCCTCCCTATTTGACCGATGAGTGCAATTAAATCTTCCTAAGTACAATTTCCCACTTAGTAATTAACTTAGTAATTAACTTACTGTTCTACAACTAACTTTAGTAAATATAAAGCCTCGTACGTCTGGCAATTTTAGGAAAATCTATGACAAAGTTGGAAAGGTTTTCATTTGACACGTTTCGTCATTTGGAACTTCATCAGACTAAAGTGATGTTTCCGTTGATGCGGCTACACATGCGCACGAAGGAGATGGACGCTGAGAATTTTAAATTTAAATTCATTTTTTAAATATGTTTTGTGTATTTGTACACTATCTAGCCGATTTAATTAATTTCTTTTTTTGTTTTGTTCATTTTTTTATCACTGTCAAAAAATCACATATTGTAAGAACACGGACGTACATTTACTGTGAATGATCTAGCGGTTAAAGCACTTAACAAGCCTTGAATGAAGATATTAGAATAGAGTTTGGTATAGGGAAATGTTTAGTGGTGGCAATAAAGAATAAATTTGATACCTTCAGTAGATATTGAGTTGCCTCATGAAAATAGAACAAAATCAAGAATGCTAAAATAAAAAGTAACAAAAGACTTTCTGAAGGTTAAAGAAAATATCAGGATCCTGTCTGAATGTGAGAAACACTGTTTTCTAAAATCAACTATATTAATTGTCCGTTGTCGGATTGGTCTCAAGATAATCTATAAAACATAAGTAGAAAAACAAGGAAAATGATGACCATTTGTAGAAATATGCAACCTCAAGTAGACGTAAACAGGCTTTATTTGAAGAGAAGAGAAAAGGTGCAAAGATTCTGATCTTAGTTGAGGTAATGTTGTCACACGTTGAAACATGTAGCTTGTGTCGCCATATTGAAAATATTATCGAGGAACGGTTACTTGAATAAAATATGGAAAGAGTAATTATTGGAAACACTGACTCTAAAAAACAAAAATTGAATTTACTTTGAAAAGGAAAAACAAATTCATGGATTAGAAAGTTTATTCAGTTTTCGAAAGAGATAGGGGACAAGAGAGTAACGTGGACATAGATCAGAAATGGTTATTAGAAGAAGGAAACAGAGAGAATATTAATGGTAGTTCAGGAACAAGGATTGAGGCAAACTGGATAAAGGCAAACACTTCAACGTTAGGTTGACTGTTTAATGATAGAAATGATACTATCAGTCATATTGTATCAGAATGCAAGAGTATGGCTCAGAATGAGTATAAGAAATGGATTTACTATCATTATTCCTTGGAAACTGTATAAAAAGTGCGGCTTTTCAATCTGGTGGTAAGTATTATGAACACGTGATCGCAGAGGAGAAGAAGGTTCTGAAGAATAGCAAAAGGAAAATCCTGCGAGATATTCCGATACAGACAGTGACAAATTTAGAACACAATTAGCCAGATTTAGTGCCCAAAACATTGGAATCAAAATTAAGTTAGAAATTCAATGAAGGATTGAGATTGTATAGATCCTGGCGTTGTTTGGATCTACAATATTGCCGAGAAAAGTGCTGGAAATTTGCTGTCACTCCAGATATCAGGTGCGAACATGCAAATATATAATAATAATAATAATATGGAATATAAAAGCTCATAATACTATCGTGCCCATAATAGTAGGTGTATTAGGAATCATGATTTAAAATCTAGAATCAAAATTGTGTGTTAGAAATCCGAAGAAGGTACATGACATTGTTTGGATCTGCGGTGATGCTGAGAAAGTTGCTGGAGATTTTAAGAAACATGCTCTTACTCATTCTTAAATTATACCCACCAGGCATCCAGTGCGAGCATACAAATATACAATATCCTCCTATATGGCACTGAAATGTAGACAATTTCCTCATAGATGAAGAAGAGAGTTCAAACAACAGAGATGGGATTCTACAGAAGGATGCTGAGGATACCATGCTAGCAACGAGGAATTTTTAAAAAATGGAAACAAAAAGAATATTTTTACCTAGTATCAGAAAAAGTCTAAATTTCTTGGGTATATAATGAGGAAAGAGGGCTTGGAGAATTTGATATTCATATGGCATACTGAACGCAAGAGGAGCAGAGCGAACTGAGTAACCAACCTAACGAGCTTGTGTAAATGGATGGTAGAACAAATACTGAGAGAGGTAATAAAAAAATCAGATGTTACTTAGAATAGAATAGTAACTTGTGGAGGGCCATGATCACCCACGCCCTGAAAGGACAGGGCACATAAAAGAAAAAGAAGAACGAGAGAGGAAAACAATTTAACAAATGATCAACGAAGAGATTAAACAAAGCTGTAAATCCTGACTCTTTAAGAAGATCAGCTACCAGCTGCTATTTGTAAATTTTTAATTAGAAATTTAAAAAGAAGGTTTGATTTTGACGAAAAAAAATGTCTTCCAAATATCCAATCCTCAATTTTAACAATTTTTGCTTTATTTCTCAACTGTTGATTTTAGATTCTTTTCTTGAAATCATTGTTTATTCTGATTACTGGTTGGCAATCATCAGTTCAACACTATCAGCAATCCGACACTAATTTTCCTCTAGAGTAATTTCAAATTTCCCAAGCTGCTGTACGGACCTGCCTCCGCAGTTTGCTAGCCCTAGATGTTGCATTAAAAGTATTTTTTTAGCACTCTTAAGCACTTTTAAGACGTTTCCACATGTCTTATTGTATTGTTTATTATAACCTGCTGGCGTTTAGCCATAGTCAGGACTTCATTGAATACAAAAAGTTATAACCTCATGGTGAGGCGTAAACAGTATGCTTGGTCCATAACAATATCACTTGATATTCATTTTTCTTTTTTCTTTATTATTAACCAACATGCTCTGGTTTACCGGATATTTTAAACGTAGACTTATAACTTTGTCCGGATTAGTGATGGTCAAACTGTATTGTATTTCCAGTTGGTCCTAATTGTTGTTACAACTGTTTTTTTAAAAACATTTTTGCAGTTATTGCTTTATACTACTTTATGCCATGTCAATTTAGGAAGTAGGCGATCGTGGCCCTACATAGCCTTCTTTCTTTGAATTATTATGACGTCTTAAGAAACATATAGTTGAGTAGTTTCCCGTTGACTTCGACGTGGTTTGAATTTAGCGTAGCATTTGTCCTAGTCTGGTTATCATACACACACATACATATATATATATATATATATATATATATATATATATATATATATAATGAAAAGAAAGAATAGTAAGATATACATTCCGGTGTCTTATTAATATTTTATTTTTACAAACAGTGCTCAATGTAAATTTACGGAGCATAAATATTATAAATTAACTGATTTAAAATATGGTTTCTTCGCTTATACAAGGAATTACCATATTTTAAAACATGAATCTAAAAACTTCAAATTTAATTATATAATTAAATTAAAAGCATTTCATTTTCAAGCAAACATTCCAAAATTCGCTTGAAGAGGAAACGGAACTATTGCTTTTAATTTATATTGCTTTTATATTTATTTAAGATATATATATATATATATATATATATATATATATATATATATATACTTTATATTTATTTAAAGATATATATATATATATATATATATATATATATATATATATATTTTATTTAAGATTATATATATATATATATATATATATATATATATTTTATATTTATTTAAGATATATATATATATATATATATATATATATATATACACGAGTTTGTCGCTGCGTTTAAATTTTTCATGCAACAAAAACCGACTATCATTATTGTTTGATATATTGAAATGTAATTGTCATCTTTGATAATGGCTTATGCTTAGATAGAATTAAAAAATATGTATCAATATTGTGATTTTCTTTCGTCTTTCAATGATAATGTTATTAAGCTTATCAGACGATATGAAAGGAACTTACTTAAAAAAAATAAATAGACCAAACTTGTCTATATTATTATTTTTTTTATTTTAAGCGATTCACCCCAAGCAAGGCGGAAAGCCACTAGGACGCAAGGGATTACAGAAGACTTGGAGCAAGATCAGATAGGAGTGATAGAAGAAAGGATGAGGAGAAGGGTAGTGGATAGATCAAGGCAACTGG